TTCAGAATCTTGTTTTCTCTAGGACCTGCTAGTTTTATCAAGCATTTCACCCAAAATAATATTTCTTCTGTCAAATATTTGGCATGATTTTCGGGTAATGTTCCATGACGGCTGAATGAGTACACACTATCAAAATGCACCCTTTCCCCCTATCTCTCTAATTAAATTTAAAATTAACATGCTGCTTTCTCATGCTTCGTTCTGTTACGCCTGCCTCAATTTCCCTTGGTTCCGAAGCCTATCGGTTATGAATATGTATTAGCGTTTGCTGTCAAACCCTGTGAACACCTTCTGGAGCAGAAGATTAGATATGCTATTTCAAAACAGATGCATCAGTTTAAATCATCCCCTGCAATGTTCACCTACCAGTGAACTTTCATGAGAGACTGAACAACAGAACAGCAGACACTACTCTGCCAGCCAAGGTTCATATAGCCTTTTTTTTTCTTGCCTCAATGAATTTTAGTCAGTTTTAATTTTCATTTACAGTAGGATATCAACGATTCATGAGCTCATCAGTCTAAATGGAGTTAAAATTTCATGACTAACAAAGACACAGGCAAATGGATGCCTGAAAGCACCAAACTACTTCTGCCCAATCAAACTTTGCACTTCATATCCTCTTTCTAGAAAACTCTTCTCCCTTTGGGTGCCTGGGTGGCTCCAGTGGTTGGGGATCTGCCTTTAGCTCAGGCTGTGATCTCAGGGTCCTAGGATCGAGCCCTATGTCTGGCTTCCTGCTCAGCAGGGAGTCTGCTTCTCCCTCTCCCTCTGCTCCTCCCCCTGCTCATTCTCTCTCTCACTCTCTCTCTCTCTCAAATAAATAAATAAAATCTTTAAAAAAAAAAAAAAAAAGAAAGAAAGAGAGAAAGAGGAAAAGAAAACTAATCTCCCAACCGACATTTGCCTGACAGAGTGATGCCCTTCCCACAGATGGCAGCTTGGATGTTACTTCCTCCAGGAAGCCTTCCAGGAGGCTCCTCCCCAATATAAGCAATGTGTTCCCCCAACACTGTTCGTTTCCTCAGAGCACTAAGTAGTTAACAGAATAACTGAGTTCACGCCTTAGCTTACCCTTCCGTGAGGGAAGGTCTGAGTTGAAGTGGTTTTCAACCACCTCGGGATAGATATCAATAAGTGCCTGTTGTTAGAATGAGGAGATGAATGAATGAGCATATTTTTAATATGCTCTTCCATGTTGCAGAAGAGATGCTCATCTGTTTTACTAATAACTTCAAGTTTGAGAAAGAGGCCAGAGTAATGAACAATGGTCAAGTTATAGAATGATACTGTATAAAATGTGGGAAAATCAGAAAGAAGTCTAAGTTTAAGGTTATTTCTAAGTTTAAGGGGACAAGAATGGGTATCAGACCACTCTGAGCAATGTACTGGCTCTGCCCAAACTCAAATGGAAATGGACAAATCCCTTCATTTAGATTTTTGTTTCCTTGCCTGTAAAATGAAGGCAATAAATTAGGTCTCTATGGTCTCACTCTTCTTAACACTAAAACTCAGTGAAAGGAAGTTGATGAAGAAGCACTACTTAGTAGATAATCAAAGTATTTATAAAAAGCATCGCTTTTTAATTCAGCATTATTTAAATTCAGCATTGTTAAACACACATTTAGAGCCATACCACAGAATTTATAGGTTATTAAGATATACTGACATTTTAATGACATTTATCTTTGGACTGAATTATGGTATAGATAAGGTGCCCACAAAGTCATTTGCTCTGCCTTACCTAGCTACAAGCACAGTTCTATTTTTCCATAATTGAGACCTCGATACACACAAATACACACATTTTTCATTTTAGAATATGATTATGCACTGTTTTGCAATTTTCTTTTTTTTCACTGAACAGTAAATCTTAACAATTTTATATGCCTGCTTTATTCTTTTTAATAGCTGAGTAGTAGGCACATGCTATAATTTATTTGTTCACTTATTGACAAATATTTGGGCTGTTTTAAATAGTCCATTTTACTGAGAATATTACAATGAATATTCCTTTATTTTTAAAGATTTTATTTATTTATTTGACAGAGACAGATATCACAAGTAGGTGGAGAGGCAGGCAAAGAGAGAGAGAGGAGGAAGCAGGCTCCCCGCTGAGCAGAGAGCCTGATGCGGGGCTCGATCCCACAACCCTGGGATCATGACCTAAGCCGAAGGCAGAGGCTTTAACCCACTGAGCCACACAGGCACCCCACAATGAATATTCTTATACTTATTTTTTTTTCTGCACATGTCATTACTTAGCATATCAAATTGGAATTGCTCCTTCAAAAAGGAAACACTTGATACATTTTATATTTGGTACATTCTGGAAAATTGCCTACCAAAAAAGCTTTGACAATTCACAGACTCAGTAGCAGTAGCCATTTCCTGGATTCTTTGCCAATAGTATAGTTAATACTCTTTTTAGTCTTGCCAAGCTGATGAATAAAAAGTGAGGTCTTCTTTTTTTATTAGAGTTTCAAATCAAATTCCTGATAAGTTTGAGGATCTATTCACATGATTAGCAGTCATTTGTGTGGCATTTTTCCTTAAATGCATAAAATATGATAAAATATGTAAACATGATCTATCTAGAATAGAACTCAATGTGATATGTGTATGTGCATTAATGGGTGGAAATGAATGAAAATGCACTGGAAAGGTGCGACATGAGAGCAGTTACCAGAACAACTGTAAAGGGGACTTTGATGTGTGATTCGAATTTTTTTACAATGAGAGTAGTGTGTTCCTTCTAACCTTGCTTTGCTTTACTAACAAAGGGACTGTTGGATAAACAGGAATCATAAAGATGAGTGAAACTGTATTTCATTGGCTATAATCTCATTTTCTTTCCCGTCTGTTTCCAAGAAATAATCCTGCTTCTTTATTTATTGTACCCACTCCACTTGTTTCTCTACCCCCTTGAAAGATTTCCCTGAGCCCATTCTTAGACACTCTGCTCTCTCCTCCAGACAGCTCAGCTGCATCCATGCTTCTCCACCCTCTGGCATCCATGGTTCTCATCTGACTTCCCTCTGCCTGCCTGACCCTTCTACATACCTTTAAACAAATAACAGCCTTGTCCTTAGGGCATCTGCAATGAGAACAACAAAAAGAACATGGAAAAAGCTACAATAAAAGTGAAAAGAAACCTGTTAAGGTGCTAATTTAGTGTAGGTCGTGAAAGAAGACCTTCTTGAGAGAATGGTATTGAAATATGACGTCGGAGTTTGCTGGGAAATTGTGGGGGAGAGGACAGGAATATTCCATGCTGAGCACAGCACTTGACTAAGTCCTATGACAGAACTACTGTTAAATCATTCAAGTAACTAAATATGACCATCATGACTTAAATAATTTGGATAAAGTTCCAGTGCTGGATAATTTTGTGACTAATGGTTGGAACCATAAATCCAGTCCCAACACCTGTAGGGAGGTGGGACCAGATTGCATGAGGAGGTACAAATTCCCCTGAAAGGAATAGGTGTTATATATTCTTGACAGTGCTAGGGGAAAAGGTAGAAAAATAAGTTTCAGACGAGAGTGAAGGAAAATATTTTTCTGTGTGTCTAGGGCCAAGAATTGATGTGGCCTGCAGGCCCTAAGGTCTGGCACGTGTACAGAAAGAGTAACCCCTTGACCATATAAATGTGGTCAGAAATGAGGAAATGGAACAAGTTAGTAGGATGCCATGAAAAGGGTCCAAACAAAACAGCATTGTCCAACAGGACTTTCTGCAGTGATGAAAATGTTCTATAATCCTAACGATCTAATAGGATAGCGACTAACCACATGTGGCTACTAAGTACTTTGTAAACGGCTGGTGCCTGTGAGCGATGGACTCTTTTATTTTATGGAATTCTTATTTTGTTTCACTTTACTTTAAAGAACCACATGTGGTGGTTCTTCTAAAGAATCACATGTCTCATTCAGTGAAGCGTGTGACTCTTGATTTCGGCTCAGGTCATGATCTCAGTGTTGAGAGACTGAGTCCCGTGCTAACCTCTGCACTCAGTGCACGGTCTGCTTGAGATTTTTTTCCCCCGCTTCTCTTCCTGTTACTCTCTCTCTCTCAAATAAATAAATAATTTTTAAAAATTAGATAAACAAATAACCATCTGTGGTTCATGGTTACCATATTGGTCAATGCAGGCCTGGTCTCAGAAGTGTTGAGAGAATTAGGTAAGACTGTGTGCACACATGAAAGGCAGAGGAATAGAGAGGAAAAGAGTGTCCTTGGTAGTCCTCAGCAGAGAATGTTGGTGTCCAGAGAGTCAAGATTTAATAAAGGTCACATCCATGAAACGGTGGGACATGATGAGGGAGGAAAAGACCCTGAGAAACTTGTGGAGGTATGAAGCCAAAGCCTTGGGGAAATGTTGGCAGTCACCAAGGGACAATCCGGAGGCTTCTTATTTCTAACAATGGAGCTGGTGGAGTCTTGTGTTATTGTCGAGTGTGCTATACTTGGTAACAAATGACAAGTGTGCGGTCAAAATGGCACAAATTGCAGTTCTTTAGTTGTCTGTTTTCTTCATGTTTCTTTTTTTTAGTTCTCAGGAAATCTGAAAAAGTAGGTCGTGCCCTTGGTCTACAGGTCTGGCAAAGTTAATGCTCTACAAATGAATAGAATCAGACATTCTGCTATCACCTTTACAAGTTTTTTAGTTGCTTTCTCTGCTCCAGTCCCTGCCAAAGCTCAAGGTTAAAATATTTGTTCATCTAAAGCACTCTTCATCACCCTTTCTGATCCCGATCAATTTTCATAAGCACCTGCTCCAAAAAGCACACCGAGAAACTGGAAGGGGCATAAAGCTGTTAGAACTTGTCACGAAATTCAACACAAAGTCAGCAGTGTTCAAGAAGAACAATTTTTCATGTGTGTTGACACATAACTTCCCTCGCTTGTGTTTTGGTGATGACATTGTTTGCTAACCTCAACCATGAATGCTAGCAAGTCAGACAAAACCTCCAAAGAATCCCTATCATTTCCGATTGTGCCAGCCGCCGTGGTATTGGATTTGCTTCATGCTATCACCTTCATTCTAGGGGAGGGGAGGAAGGGGACGTGCAGAGCTTTGCTGATTTTGTGCTGCCATCAAAAATGGGTTTTTCGATTCCACTAAGAGAGTTGGGGTAAGACATGCTCTGACCTGCTGCTGCCTTTGTTTAGAGGGCCATGAATTGACTGAGACTGCTGAATGCACAAGGTACTATATAATAGAGTTATAGATTAAGCTCTACCTGTTTACCTTCTCATAAGCCTCCACTGAGATGCCTTTAGAATGGAAAAGATAATTTAAAAAGCAACAGATTATTCCTATCTTTTCTTTTTTTTTCGTTCACCTTTTCTCTGCATTGATTTATTATAGGAGCTGTTGATTATTTGCTGATTGCACGTTAATTCCAAGTTACCAGGGCAGAGCGCCTGTGTGCTATCCACTTAACAGGCTTCTTTTGTTAATGAAGTCCTTATCCTATTGGATTCCTGTTCCTTAAAGCAACATTTCAAAGAGAGGTTGCCTTATGGTCAGTGGGAGTGATGCCACACAATGGGCTGGAAAGATGACAATCCATCCCTGGGCCCTGGCTCTGCCCCAAGGAGTAATTCAATTAAATATGTGTGAGCTTCATTCTCCTTGTGCGTAACTGGAAAATAAAAATGTCTATCCCGCCTACATTCCAGGCTGGTGAGAGGATCAAATAGCAAGATACCTACAGAAGGGCTTTGTAAAATCTTAACACACTTGAAAGATAATAAATTTGTATTCATCATTTTTACCTCCACTCATTTCTAGAAAGAGTTTTAGTTCAGCTACAATGAAGGAACAGAGGCAGTTGAACCATTAAAGCAAAGATAAAAGAACACAAGTCATATAATAAAAACAGCAGATAATTGTTTCAGGAAAATCTATGTTAAGAATAGTGGTATCAATTGAAAACTAAATTTAAATCTTCTGGCAATTAAGGCAAAACACAAAACACTGGGGCGCCTGGGTGACTCAGTTGGTTAAGCGACTGCCTTCAGTTTAGGTCATGATCCCAGAGTCCCAGGATAGAGCCCCACATCAGGCTCCCAGCTCCGCAGGGAGCCTGCTTCTCCCTCTGACTTTCTCCTCTCTCATGGTCTCTCTCTCTCTCTCTCTCTCTCTCTCTCAAATATATAAATAAAGTCTCTTAAAAACACACACACAAGGGGCGCCTGGGTTGCTCAGTGGGTTAATGCCTTTGCCTTTGGCTCAGGTCATGGTCCCAGGGTCCTGGGATTGAGGCCCGCATCGGGCTCTCTGCTCAGCCGGAAGCCTGCTTCCTCCTCTCTCTCTGCCTACTTGTGATCTCTGTCAAGTAAATGAATAAAATCTTAAAAAAAAAAAAAAAACGGGGTGCCTGGGTGGCTCAGTGGGTTAAAGCCTCTGCCTTCGGCTCAGGTCATGATCCCAGAGTTCTGGGATGGAGCCCCGGCATGGGGCTCTCTGCTCAGCAGGGAGCCTGCTTCCTCCTCTCTCTCTCTGCCTGCCTCCCTGCCTACTTGTGGTCTCTGTCTGTCAAATAAATAAATAAAATCTTTAAAAAAAAAAAAACACACACACACACAAAACATTGTTAGGCACATGACTCTCCTTCATCTATGAAATGAAATATGTTGGTTTATTAGGCAAGACAGAACTTGTCCTACCATTAAATGCTAAGGATCGTGAATGAGACTGTTTTCTGGGCAGACACAAGTGCACACTTTCAGTTGCCCTTGCAGTCAGAATGCGAGCCGGGTGCATGACAACTTTCCCCACGTGCTCCTTCATGCTCTCCCTCCTGATACTAGCTTGATTCATGACAATCATAGAAGGTGGGAGAGGGAAGGACCCTGGGCACCTGAATCCTTACTTGGAGCTGCCCACCAATTAAAAATATCTACTTTCTACTTTATATGAGCAAGAAATAAACCTCTATCATGTATGAGCTATTTTTTTTTACACAGTTTGCACACCTGATAAAAATAAAGATTTTCTAATTTGGGACTTTATTGGCTAATATATAGAGTTTTTAACTATTAGTTTTACCTTTAAAAAAGTTTTTTTTTAATTTTTTTTTTAAGATTTTATTTATTTATTTGACAGAAAGAGAGATCACAAGTAGGCAGAGAGGCAGTCAGAGAGAGAGGAGGAAGCAGGCTCCCCGCTGAGCAGAGAGCCCGATGCGGGCCTCAATCCCAGGACCCTGGGACCATGACCTGAGCCAAAGGCAAAGGCATTAACCCACTCAGCCACCCAGGCGCCCTACCTTTAAATGATCTTCATGGGCTGTGTCATATTTTATCAGAGGCAAGCAAAATCTAATGGTTCTAAGGGAATAAAACAAAGATGGGAGATTTTATTTATATTGGGATGTTAATGCCTAGAACAGAAAAGAAAGAAGAGACAAGAATACTTCTGGAACACGAGACATGTCCAGGAAGGCCTGTCTGTTTAGGGACCTTATTAGTGAAGATACAATGAGCATTGAGAAAGCTGAGATAAGGCTAGTGCCTTAACGCACTGAGAGGAATCCGGACAGTTTAGAAACAAAGACAAATAAATTAGGGAAAGGAAGGGAATAGCTAAATCCGATTTTCCATATTCCCTTAGAGTCTGCGCTGCCTGGCAGGATCTCAGAACCCTCAGCTTTTTGAGCAAGGAAGTGTCATTCATGGGCTCTGCTGTGGAATCTGTCTATAGGCAGATTCTTGGGAATTTTATAAAGACAATCAAACATGAGGATATCATAAACTGTGGATTTAATCATTTTATTACATCTCAAGCACAATTTTCAGAACTACAGAATTGCCTCCTGAACTTCTCTAGGCTTTTCACACTAAGTTAGCTTAAGTGCGTTGGGCAGATTCCATTCACTCCCACGACAGGTTTGTTCTGAGACTTTCCCTAAACTTTGCTGGGGGCTTCCTGTTTGGACTTTTGCTCTGCCTCTCTCAATGTTTTGGACCTTCCTATTTTGAGCATAAACAGCTCCCCTTTTGCATGTGATTTAAATTTCATTTCTAGCTATTTAAGCTAAAGATTTAGTAGGGCTTGGGCAAATGGCAGCATGGAGTAGACAGGTAGGACCAGTCCCAGGCTCTGGACCCAACCTTGGCCAGAAAGGTTTTTCTAGGAGATGATAGGCAGACACGGTTGCTGTTGAAAATAGGTCAGGACCCAATCCAGTAAGTGTAACTGCGTAGACATCTATAGTCCCAGGTCAAACAGGCAGCAAGCCATCCAGGACCAAAGAACAGAAAGTCCTGTCATGCACAGGTCAACAATGGAGAATTCAAGAAAAGAAATGCTCAGAAACCTACATAGCCAGACTCTCAGAAGAAACTCAATATATAATAGGTCCCAATGGGGTCTTTCCAAAATTCTATTTCCCTCGGGCCAGAATTTCTACCTAGAAGCATTCTTCTAACATCATCAAACCACAACCATCTTTCTTTACATGATAGCTAGTTTTTGAAGTATCTAAGAAAATGTAAAATATGGTTGACATCAAAATAATATGAATGTCCAGAGACCATGTCATTTCTGTAAGCATTGCAAGTGCGACAGGAAAGTTTGAGTAACAACCACTTTACAATTCTAAGAATAATACAAGTTTCATTGCCTTCAAGTTGATATATGGCTTTCTGGACACCATCAATTGAAAGAAAATGAAATCCACAAATTACTTTTCTGGTACTTCTATCCAGGTAATTTCTTTGTTCCAAAGATAAGGATTAATTTAAAACAAGATGTAAAAATTAAAAAATTAAAAAATAAAGACGAGGGTGAACACATCAATTAAAAGCTTTTGAATGCTAATAAAATAAGAAGTAGGAGACAGAAAAATGAACCCTTTGCACTTTTCTAAGTGAATTTGTCTTTGCAACTCATTGCTTTCACTTCCTCACACACCTAAAAGGAATGCAGAAGCACAGATGTGTTATTCAAAGTTTAATTTCTTTTAGGAAATGTGTGAGTTAGAATCAAGAGAATGTTAGAGGCCATGTGGTTTAACCTCTACTCACTGAATATATAATACCTACGCTAACTGAGCACTTTCTCTGTGTCAAGCATTCTTCCAAGTATTTTCCAGGTACTATCTTTACCACAAACTCATTATTCCTACATTAGAAATAAAGGAAACTGAGGCCCAAAAAGCTTGAGTGATTTGCACATAGACACATTGTAAGAGGCAAAACTGGGATTTAAATCCAAGAAATCTGATTTCTAGAGCTTAAACAGTAAGTGATTCTGAGTCATATATACCATCCTAAGATAAATGTAAGCATTCCTTGCTTTCTTCCTTAATGTTACCACTAAGATTTATAGCTATGTGTATTTCATTTGGAAACATATGTGAAACATTCAGTACACAATTCAAAGACCCAACTTCTCATTTTTCAATTAAGGATATGGACCTTATCTGACAATTCTTCAGCCCCAAATAAGCAATCCGGGTACCAAAAACAAGATAAGAGACAAAGGGATCAAGTGCCAGAATCTAGACATTTCCAAGAGCTTGCCTTTAGCGATCGGAGTACAGATCACTGCCTTTAGTCTGTGTTGCAGGACAGCATCTGAGGGCGATTTTTCCAACAATCTACACCTGTGCCCGTGGGCCTGACGCTCATGACAGATGGACTGAACTCCACTGAAAACATCTCGTGTGTATCATTCTTCTCTAGGCCTCCATGCTGGGCTTGGAAATCATATTGTCTCAAGGGCCTTTTAGTCCTGGTCACACATTTGCCATTAGATCATTCCATTCTGTATCTGTTGAGTCTCTTAAAAACATGGACAGACTTCATTTTCTCTGCAAAGTATGTCTGCAAAGCTCAATGCCTTTTTTAAGAACCGTCACTAGATTTTCTAGGCTCACTCAAGTTCCAAATTGCAATCTATTCTCCCACTGTAATACCTGCTTTTCCAACTGGTAATTTCAAAATAAGTGATCCAGTCTTCAAAACATTTAAAGTAAACAACAACAATAACAACAACAAGCCCCCCCCAAAACAAAACAACAACAACAAAAAAACCCAACTCAGATTGATTATCCCATCTCATTGGGTTCATTCCAGGTTGATCAGTGGTTTGAAGAGAATATCCACCCCCACCTTCTGCAGCAGTTTCTCCTCTAACATACCGACTTCTTAATGTCGACTCTCTTAATGGGTTCTAGAATTCAGACTCTTTGCATTCTTAGCAGAACAAACCGCCACATTTCTGTTCATTCCAGAGTCAAAGCTGTCATAGTCTGCTGTTACTTTTCTCTGAATGTCCTCAAGCTGTCAAAATGTTTGCTGTGTCTATCAAAATATGCCAAATTCATTTGGGGCATTGGACATGAGCAGCACCAAAATTTCGCAGACAAATGGGGTTGGATGAATAGCAGATATAGGACAATTAAAATGAGAAAAGTGTAGGGCAGAGCATGCCTTTGCTACTAAATATGACAGATTATATTATAAAGAAATGATTGATATAAGTGGGATATTAATTTAACATTACAGGTAAAATCTAATTTGTTATGCAGAACAGGACATGGCAGACTTTTTCAGTAGTTAGCAACTTTTTCAGGGAGAGATAAAGATTAAAATTTATGCCAATAACGGACCAATATAATTGTTCCATCTCATCATGCTTTATTAATTTCAAGGTGGTATTCCAAAATATTGAATGTCTGTTTCAGATTAATATGGATACTCCCAAGCACCCCCCAGAGGATCTTATGAAGAAGTCCTGAGAACATATTTTAGCAAACATAATTAAGTAGAAAGAATGGAGGCTCATGTCCACCCAAATTCCGCAGCATGAAGGAGCACTTCTTCCTATTCGCGTGAGAAACTAAAAATCATTTCTTGTATGCTGTTCACTATGCATAGCTGCAGAATTCCAAATTAATTAAAATACAGAGAAGGGAGATTTTCATGTAGAGTTAAAATTCCTAAGGTCTGAGAGAATTAAAAGGATAACTTTAACTTTGTCTTGATGGGCATTGCCCCAATATTTACCCAAAAAAGTGGGAGGCTGGTCCCTAGCACGGGATCTTGGGCCAATGAACTGCCAAAATTAGTTCTGAAAAGGAGCTGAGTCACTAGGAGTGAAGCCCGGGAGAATGTTTGCAACCTGCCTATTTGCATTTCCAGAGTTCTCTTTGGATGCTCTGTGTAAGAACAGTTGTCCTGAGAGTCACCTAGGAGATCCGGCGTTCCCCACTCACAGCCATTACTTCCAGGTTTCCAAAACCGTTGTGATCACTAAGAAAACTTTTGTCCAAGAAAGAATCCTTCCTTGATGGCAATGATATTTGACAACAGTGACTGCAAACTAAATCATATTATTTGGCCCAAAGAACTGAAGTTACTCTGTTAACTAGAGGTACTCCGGTGTTAAATGCAACTGATTCTTTTCAATTCCCTCTTCGAACCATTGAATAAATCAACAATTTTAAGAGAAAAACTTGTTTCACCCCAGTCTTCATAAACAATTCAAACTGTCCAGTAGGGCCACCTGGGTGGCTGGGTTGGTTAAGCGGCTGCCTTCGGCTCAGGTCATGAACTCAGGGTTCTGGGATCGAGCCCCACATTCTGGCTTGGGTGGAGATCCTGCTTCTCCCTCTCCCCCTGCCTGCTGCCCCCCTACTTGGACTCTCCATCACTCGGTCAAATGAATAAATAAAATCTTAAAAACAAACAAACTCTCCAGTAAAGAAGATTAAGGCTTACCTCAAAGGCACTCTGTATTTTGCGAAAGTCATCCACACTGAGTTGGTTTTCAAGCAGAGAGGGGCAGGGGTCTTCATCTGTGGTGGCCCCTCCCGCTCTTCCCGGGCTCTCTGACCCAGGCTGAGGCCCCTTGTTCAACTCAAGTGCATTCTGGTAACTCATAATGGCTTCACCTCTTTTCAGCTGCCTTCAACTACTTGGACAATTTTTTTCCCCTTCAACAGGTGCCTTTGAAAAGAAACCCAATTTAGCAACATAATTTCAAAATGAAAGCACATTTCAAGGCCCACAATGAAGAGACAAAATGTTCAAGCCCAGAGGTAAGGAATAAAAGCCCTCAACCCCCACCCTTTTTTAATTCCACAGTTTACTTTCCAAATCTACAGCCAAATCTTTCTAAAACCCCCCTCCTAAGATTCTGCTTAATCTGGCTTCATTAAAAATGTGTAAATCTTCCCCCATGTTTATACCAAATGACACAGAACACAACTTCTAAATCTCATTTCAAATGCATTAGAAAAGCAACTTCTCCAAAATCTCTTTGGCTAACCTTGCCTCTGTTAACATCTTGGGGTTTTAAACTCCATTTTCTTGTATGACGCAGGTGCAAGGTTTCTGTCCCGGCGAAGGGCTTGCCTCTAAGGCCATCGTCACAGCAACGTGGAATTGTTTTCATCTGTTCCTGCTGCCTTTGTATGTTTCCTGGCAACCAAAGTCAAGCCAACTAAAACTTTTCCTTCACCGATCCCCCACCCTGACTAATTACTGACCTGAAGGTCTGAATATGTTATGTGCATATGAGATTTCTTCTAAAAGGATAATTCAGCCCACTCACTTCTAATTAAACTTCATGGCTATATTATTTAAAGACAAGTTTTATAAATATGTTTTCTCTGAAGCATGTTCTATATTGTGAAATAATAGGATTCGCCAAAAGAAAAGAGAAAGACATTCTGGAATTGTATGTTTTTCACGTAGGAAATATTTTATTCTTAATTATAAGAATCTGTTCCTTTACTTTCTCTTTGTCTTAGTTTCTATGTATCTAAAATGGGGATGTTGTTCAATTCATTGCATATAAAGGGAAGACCCATAGCATAACATGATAAACTTTGTAATAAAACCACTTATAGTACCATCACTAGCTCAGCTAATACTAATGAAAGGGAAGGAAAAAAAAGAAAAGTTAACTCTTTTTTAGTATTTACCATGTGCTAGGCACTACACTAAGCACTTTGCATTCATTTTCTTGTTAAGCTTTACAACAACCCTGGAAAGCAGACAAGGTCACTGTCTCTACTTTACCAATGAAGAGGCAAAGAAAATGCCAGAAGCCACGGAGGTAATAAGGTATGGGATATGGCTCCAGAGCTTCAGAGACAGCTCTAGGGATGGGCTCTCTCTCTGTACCTTAGGTTCATCTCTGTAAAACTGAAAAGCTGTCACTCAGTATTTTCTGAGGTCTCTTCCAGCTCTATCATTCTATAATAGATATTCTAGCTGGTATTCACAAGACCCTTGGTGATGCACACAGTACATTCCCTAGAACACAGAGAAGGAATCAACCTACAGGCATTCCTGTACCAGTTGAAAGAAAGAAAGAAACAATGAAAGGAAGGAAGGAAGGGAGGGAGGGAGGAAGGGAGAAAGAAATGTCATTCACACAGCCATTTAATTTATCCATCTCTCTGCCCATGGTTCATTCCAAAAACCATTTATTGACTGTATGTCACGTCCTGAATTAGACCCGTGCCCGTGCCTGAGGGGTTTATAGGCTTGTGGGAGCAATTACCTGGCTAGATCATCTTTCATACCAATCCCAACCTCTTGCTGTTTACAGTGCTGTGTTGAGAAGGATTCTGAAGTCATAGGAAATGAGTGGTAATCTTGCAGATATGTAACATAGGCACAGAAAGGCAAAGGGGGGCATGTTTATCACAAATTTGCCTTTCCTGATTTAGACCTTCATGTAAGTTAGGAAAATGTTTTGAGCCCCTTCCACACGATCACGCTGAGCTAGTACCCGCGCCTGAATCGGGTCGCAACCTCAGCCACGCCTGCCGCCTGCCACTGCCTCCGGACCATGGACCCCCGCAAAGTGAGCGAGCTTCGGGCTTTCGTGAAAATGTGTAAGCAGGATCCGAGCGTTCTGCACACCGAGGAAATGCGTTTCCTGCAGGAATGGGTGGAGAGCATGGGGGGTAATATACCACCTGCCACTCATAAAACTAAATCAGAAGACAGTATCAAGGAGGAAAATGTTTTGAAGCCCTAATATTATAAATTCCCCTAAGTTATCTCACATAGGAACGAAATAGGTCTTTCTTCCAACCGAATAAGAAAAGTAGTAATAGTTTAGAGCAGCTGGATCAGTCCCATAAATGTTTGTAAAATATTTTATAGTCTTATTCTGGAGAGTTGGGCTTTGTTCAGGAAGAGACACTTATGAGGGAAGGCTGAGGAAATAGAAAAACCATTTCTGAAGCTGTACAGGGAGAGGTGGGTATCCCACTGCCTAACGATGCAAAATTCTCTAATTATCCTAAGACAGTCAAAATGCCTGGCCTACTTAGCTTCCATAAAGAAGCTCTAAACGTTTTCATTAGTCAAAACAGAAAAGTATAATGAGCAGCTAATAAATTACCGCAGAAGTTAATCAACTGACACAGTTTTCTTTATGTAAAATTACAGCATTAGAAATAATTCTTGATCATGAAGTCTTAAACGGCTTTAACCTCTTTGGCAACTGTGCGGTTAATTTTCGGGTTAAACTTCCACAGCACCGTAAAATCCATAACTAGCCTCTTGACTCAGCTGAAATTTACCTTCCTGTTTGCCATGAGTCAGTTATGGTTGTGTAAAATCCTGCCACATGGCCAATCCAATACCAGGTTCTATGGGGCAGTGTGCAGTGATGAAGACTGTGCTCTTGAGGGGTGGATGGTTTCGTCAGGAGAGAAGGCTGGCCAACTAGGGGACCCTTGCTCCCTTCCCTGTAGGGACGCGCAGACACTCACCGCACAGTGGAGTGCTGCCTCATGGAAGAAGGCAGACCAAGCTCTTGGATCTGCTGGCCTGTACTTCCTTTGGAACCTTGCACTGAATCAGTCTCCCTGCTGAACACGCTTCGCTTGGTGTCCTTTTCAGAATTCCCTAGTCCACCCCATGATTTATACCCACTTGGGTAAATGTGGGCCTTGTCTTTCCTCCAATTCCCCTTTCTTTGTTTGCCCTCCCCTCACACTGAAGCTGAATCTTCTTGACATTCTTCATCTTTGCCTAGAATTCTCCCTCCAGTTCCTCGCTGTAACAGAAAGCAGCTTTCCCTTACCAACCCAGTTTTCTACCTAACCCTCCCAAGTCAAGGCTGTCCCAGCCCCTGTTCTTCGGGGATAGCAGAAGGGGGTCCCCTGTATCCTTGCTTCTTGAAGCCTTGCCTTCCCAACATGGCCCCAGGGGTCAAACACGCCCCAGCTCAGTTTAAACACAAGCCCCTGCCAGAGCCTGAGGGAAAGAACTAGGCTTGCCTTGGGCAACTTTTAAGCTCTCTATAAATATTAGCTTCTTTCCTTCCTTGTCCCTGATCCTCCCAGTTTGAATTAATTACTCCTTCCACTCTGCAACCACAGCATTTTGTTTATACTTTAAGCACAGCACTTTTTCTTTCTGCTTTGCAGTATAATTAGTTGCCTGTGCATCTCTGTCTGCTACTACATTAACTCTCTAAGAACAAGGATGATACCTCACTAAGGCTCTAGACTTGCCTTGCCCACACCGAACTTTGCATAAACGACACAATGCTACGGTCTTGTGTGCACATTTATAAAATGGGTTGGACAGAAAGTTAACTTCACCAATAGCTTTGAGTTTTCAGGGAAGGGTCCTGGCAATAGGTAACACCGAATCAGAAACACAAACAAGATTTCATGAAAAATAAAATGAATGAGGGAAACAAAATTTAAGATCGGGTCCTCAAAGCACTTAGAGAAACCATTTAAGCACTTTTGAAACAGAGCCTTTTTTATACATGCAGTTTCTATGTAAGACGGAAATGTGTGGAGACCCCATTCTGTCCCAGACACTGGTCTGGACACCAGAAAAACAATGATGAATGAAACACACCCACCATTACTCAGAGACACAAATAACAGTAAATTTTGGGTTTTAAATTAATCCTATCTTTTGAGAAAGCAGACCTTTGGTTAATCTTAAACAATGTAATGTTTGCCTTTTTTGATCTGCCAAACAATGTCCAAAGTAACAAAACTGTATTTTCATAATAGCACTTCTCAGACTGTTCAAGTGTTTGAACACTGAGAATTCACAAAATAATGATATCCTAAAATAACTAAATATATAATTCTGTAATACATTGCATATCATACACTTTAGTTCTGGTAGAAGCAAGCAGTGGCAGCCAAATGTAAAAATATGTGGAAGTAGAATGGTAAAATTAAGAAAATTCTAATTATTTACATGTATTTCTACCATTTGAAAACATGTCTTCTACCACTGTGATTTTCTTGTATCAGTAGACACATAGGATGCAATAAATTAGATATTAAAAATCACTGCTTAAATATATTCTCATGTTCAAGGGGCACCCACATAGCTGAGTCTATTAAGTGTTTGCCTTGGGCTCAGGTCCTGACCCCAGGGTCCTGGGGTTGAGCCTGCCCCACTCCCTGTGTAGGACTCCCTGCTCAGTGAGGAACCTGCTTCTCCCTCTGCCCTTCCCCAATTCGTGCATTTTCTCTCTCTCCTCTCTCTCTCTCCCCACCTCCCTTTCGCTCTCTATCTCAAATAAATAAATAAAATCTTTAAAAATAATATATTCTCAAGTTCAATCTTTTTATGCAAATTCTGATGGGAGTTCCCAACAGATAATCACTTTTGAACACCTCTTTGCTTTAACAAATCCTTCTCCTTGAAATTCCATATCTGTGCCCAAAGTACCTGTGGGCTGGTTGACAGTGGGCCTGTCATTGGGGAGCCACTTTCTGGGCAATTACTCTAGACTAGGTCACCAAATTCCTTTCTGTCACCTCTCTGAGAGGACACTGTAGTTTATTCTACTAGGAGCTTCAGAACAGTTTGTCAAAGTCACCTTGATATCGAACACTTGCATCCGTGTATAGAACCACTAAAACATGGTCATAAAATCTTTGCATGAAAAGAGTTACTGGAAATCCAGTAAACATTTATTGATTTTTCTCCTTGAAGAAAGACAGAAAGCAGGTAGGTTGAAAATGAAAAATTATTGCATTCCAAAGACTATTAGGCACTTTCAAAAACATTATTTTATTTAAACCTCATGATAGCCCTGCAAGATACTTAATATTTTCCCAATTTTTTAAACGATGATGAAACTAGACAAGATTAAGTATCTTGCCTAAACTTACATAACTTGTAAATTGGATTATCTAATAATGCCATGATACTGTCTCTGCTAAGACTTTACACCAATGATTTCATTTAATTTACTCTGATATCCTATGATGTGGGAACTATTGTGATGACCACCTTATAGATGAAGAAGCGGAAACTTCATCTTTAGATGGTTAAATAAGTTCTCTAAGATCACCCAGCAAAGAAGTAGCAAAGCTGGAATTGAAAACCCAGATCCTTTTATTGTAAAACCCTATGCAGAGCGATCTGGTAAACACCAGGGTAAATTCAACTCCAGTTTGGGAGCTGAGATGTGTAAAAAATGAGGAAACGGAAAGCACACACTAGGAATGAAGTCAAAGGAGTTTGAGTTTGGAGTCAGAGTATCAGGGTCAGGTCTTGGTTCTCTCATTTTCAGACCCTATAATCCTGGGCCAAATTGAGTAATGACTCAAAGATAGCAATATTGTTTATTGTAGAATTCTTTTAAGGTTAAAATGAGATAATATGGGGCAACTGGGTGGCTCAGTCGCTAAGCATCTTCAACATCTGCCTTCAACTCAGGTCATGATCCCGGAGTCCTGGGATAGAGTACCACATTGGGTTCCCCACTCTGTAGAAAAACTGCTTCTCCCTCTCCCACTCCCTCTGCTTGTGTTCGCTCTCTCGCTGTGTCTCTGTCAAATAAATAAATAAATAAAATCTTTAAAAAATGAGATAATATGGTCAAAGTTGTATATAAACTATAAAAACATTAGGCACATGAATTAGCTTTACTATTAGTACACAGTCAGGGGAAGGCAAATTCCCTGCAAACTCCAGGTAGGAGGGATTGGAATATTTTAACTATAAACAGAATGAAGCAAAATTATCCACCTTATGATATTTTGTATTGAAGTTGAGATTCTATAATCAGTTTCATTGCTTCTAAGAAGTTCTTACATCTAAATTCAT